GGTACATGAACTCTTATGTAACATATGGCAAAAAAAAATTGATGTCAGTATAACCTGAACAAATATTTTTTTACAACTTTGATAAAATTAGTTAATAGACTTACCTAAAACCTACACAAAGCATATACTGTATAATCTAATACCCTTAATTTACTATTGCTTCTGTACGAATTTATTTCCAAAATTAGATATCAGATATACTACAGTACATATTATAACATTCTCTTAGAACACTATTCATTTCATATAGCAACAGATTCAAAAAAAACAAGCAATATTTTTAACGAATTTAAGGGAAATTGGGTTTTTGTGCAGGATGGTTAAATTTTATTCTTAGATTTAGTACATTAATTAACACAATACTATGTTACTTCTTTATGTTTCATTTTACTATACGTTTATTCTAGGAATAACTCATAAAAAATTTTTCACAATTGTATTGACATATTTTACGAGCTGGAGCGTAGAAAATAAAAACCACTTCAAAAATTATTTTATCTGTATTTATATATATTAAATTTTTTCCATAATATTATATATTACAAAAATTGTTATTTTTATAAAAGAAAAATGTTAGTCTTAAATATCAACTAATTTTGTACTTCAGTTGTTGATTAAAAATAAAAAAAATAAAAAAAAAAATAATATTTTATTCAATATATTTTGATGAACGCACTAAAAGCAGGTCGACAAAAATTAATAAAAAAAATACTAAGTCATGTGAATATTTCTCGGAGTTGTTTTCAAATTTTCATACCCGTAATTTCGACTTATTATTTAATTTTTATTGTAAAAACAGTTTGAATTTCGATTTTTTTTTAATTTATTATATAACTCCAAAATTAGCTTGTTATTTTCCTTTTTAATTTTATCTGATTTATTTCTAAAAGATTTTCTGAACCGACCGTTGGCATTCCTGCATCCCTAATCTAAAATGATGTCATAAAGTATTAACTATGATTTTTTGGATAATATTCTTTAAATTTATTTACGTAATTTTTTTACAACAATAGTGCCGATGTGATTTTTCAGAGAAACGAAAATCACGTGATCAACTCGTAAATTTGATGCATAAAACACGGTTAACCGGTCGGTCTTGGACTGAAACAGAACGATAACCGAACCGGTAAAAACCGGTTATGATCGGTTATAGCTGAACTTTTAGCATCCCTAATAATGAACATTGTTAATTAGCCTGAAGAAAAGAATGCCGAAAATCTTGTGTAATATGTCTAACTTTAATTGTGGTTATTTTCTTAATTAATTTGACGATCGTACTAACCATGAAATTCAAAATATAGTTAGTTTGAGGCCAAATATGGTTTAGACTTTAGACCTTTCCAAGATTTTTTATTCATATACTTAAGCTTGAAGCTTAAGCTTAAGTTTCAGCTTCAAGCTTCAAGCTTCAAGTGTTGAATCCGCAGTCAGCTGATGGTGGGTTAATACTGTATATATGAAAAAAAAATGATCAACATAATACGTAAAATACGTAATTACTATGATAATATAATATATTAATAATTAATTTAGGAAAAAATTTGATATGATCCGTAATAATTACCATTCACTTTCGTTTTTTATTACTAAAAAAAAAAGAAAAGAGGAAAAAATAAAATATATATATAATATTTCTCAAAAAAAATTAATAAGAATTTTTTGTATGATAAATAATGATAAATAATTATTATGTCAAAATATTTCCTTATAAAAATTATTTATTATAAAATAGTGATTTCATTTTTAATTAATAACGCTTATACAAATATTTTTTTTATAAAAAACCAATAAATAAGATACCTCTCTTTTGATTTAAAAAATTAATTAAAAAAAAATATAACATAAATAAACTTTCATTTTTTTTTAATTATTAATTAAATAATAATAATAAATACTATGCCAGCAAAGCTCACCTTTGTCTGTGTAGTTGTTGAACGTGATATATTGTGAAAGAAGCTATTGTTGTGAAAAAAGAAAATAATACAACAATGAACCTAAAAATAATTGCATTTTTTACAAAAAATCCTTCAGTTCCAAAATGGATTCTGGATTTTATGTCTGGTAATGTACTCAGATTAACGGGAAAATTTGTTCTTTGCGAAGAACTCCCTTATAATAATATTTTAGAGGTAATTCATAAACTTTCAAATTAAATTATTTAAATAAAAAAAAAATATTTATAATAAATAATAAATGAATATAATTTTCATTTATTCTAAATAAAAAAAAAATAATAAAAATAATAATAGTAATAGTAATAAAAGATGTAAGAAAAGAATTAGGAAATAATAAAGATATAATTATATAACATAGATTTATGCATGATATTTTTTTAGGTGGTTCGTATACACAATATTACTTATTTTTTTTTACATATATTTCCAGAATTTTTCTTATTACGTTTAATTAATAAAGTAATTCGCTGATTTTTTTTAAAAAAAAATAATTACATATTATGACTTTAAAACTTTGTGAATTTTTTTTTTTTACATTTTATTTATTAAATATGACGTTAAAGATGATCTTTTTAATAATAAAATAAAATAATAAAAATATAATATCATAGTTATAATTTGAATTTTTTATAAATTATATTCAATTATTAAATAGAAAAAACATCATTAAAAATAATATGCATCTTAATAAACTTTTACCCAATTATCTAATAATCATTTACTAATCAAAAAAGAAAAAAAAATTATTATATGATGCTGAAATTCTGTAAAAATGATTTTTTTATTCTTATTTAATCAATTAACTAATCTTCAAATATTAACAAAATAAATATTAACAATAAATAAATAATTTTTTTTAAAAAAAAAATATATATACATGTATATAAATTAAGATTCGATAATAAATGTAATTTCACTTTAACTCAATAAATAATTAAATAATTTACATAAAATTTTAATTTTTATTTAATTAAAAATACATAAAATAAACACATAAAAGCACTTTCTACAAACAAAACTCCGCAACTATAAATAACTCATTTATTGAAAAATTTTAATTAATTGAAGAGTGTGCCAACTTGACTCCAGATTCTTAATTAAAAAAGCGCAAATCATTATTTACATACTGTAAGTAATTAATAATAAATTTGTGGATTAATTTATAATATAGACTTGATTATCTGATAATATAAGTTGATTTGCTTGTTATTATTGAGGCATTCCAGGTAAAGCTAGTAGTATATTTATTTTATTTTATTCGCAATCACACGAATCACACGGGAAAAATGTAAAAAAGGCTAGGACAAAATACATCATCATGTTGAATCTTTAATTTGATGGAGGGGCTTAATAGGTTTTTCTAAAAGATTATTAATATAAATAAAAATTTTTTTCTTTGGAATAAAAAATTTTTTTTTTTATATATATGAAAAGATATAGTGCATGTTGTGTTCACCTATGGGTATGATACGCGCCAAAAAGGCAATTAAAATAATTTACTCATTAGTAAAAAGATTTTTTTTTAGCTGGAGTTATGAATTAACATAATTTTTATTTTATTTCTTAGATTTACTCTGTTATCATCTTTACATTACTTCAAATTCAAAATTTACGGGTGTATTACTGCGGTTCTTTCTTTTTTTTTTAAAAAAAAAATGAAGTATGATGGTGGATGTAATTGAAAGTCAGATCGAATATTAAAAGTAGTCGAAAGGGCATCATTTTTTGAAAATGAATTTAGTGAATTGAAATATACTGTAATTGATACGTTTATATTGTTTATATTTCACAATTTCACATATTTCTCTGTTCTATAAATTAATTATTTCTATAATAAACACTTATCATCGAAAATCAGAGATAAAAAAATTTTCATTGATAAGATATTAATGACTTCACAAGTAAATTTATTATTATTAAAATATTTTTTTAGCATTATTACTATTTTATACAATTTTATTCAATTTTTATTCTCAGAGATTTGTTTTAATTCATAAGTGAGTCGGGGTTTATTCCGAGGGCTAAAAAATTACTACTAGGGTGATAAAATAAAATATTTGGACCCCAAATAAAAGCTTTAAATTTAGTTTTTAAAAATTTTTACATCGTTTTGTTTTATTTTGTTTATATTACTATAAATAATTTCTTTAAATAATTTCTTTTAAAAGCGCTCAAAACGTTTAGTTCTCTCAACTAAGCAGTTTGTCGAAGAAAATTAGTTACATTTATTTTTTTTAATACAAAAATCTCAGCCAAATTTTTTTTTTACCGCTTGTTCAAAGTTTTCAAAATTAGAACTTATGTTTTCTAAAGGAAATTCTAATTACTTTTAACTACTTTGAATTTTTTCGAGCGACAAAGACACAATCATATAATAAGTGTTACAAATCCATTTTTTACGTTCATTTAATTATCAAAATTATTTTCTATTTATTTCGTACTTTTCGCTTGTTATTAATTCGTTAGGTAATTTTTTTCCGGATTATTCATTTTTATTACATCCGTGAATATTATTACAAATTTAATTATCATTCACTAATATATTTTTATCTACCGAATATTTAAAATAAAGTAACTATATATCTTTCTTTCATCCTTTTCCCTTTTCAGACACTGGTAATTTTGTCCCACCAAAACTCTGAGAAATATGATCTTCAATTTAAAATTTCCTTTTTCATATTTCCTTTCAGGTGGTTCTTAAATAGGCTAGATAAAAAATTCAACCTATCAATTTATTGTCCTGAGTCGGGTCCGAGTACTTAAATTTTTTTTTAATAAAAAGAGGAGTTCTGAACAAAAATACTTATTTTATTGACCAAAAAATTTTCATATTTATGTTTTTATCTGTATCGTTTTATCGAAAATTAAGATTCTCAATTTTGTGCTACAACCATTACCTAATTTATTAAATGCAACAATATTTTCAGAATTTTGAATATGAAATTAAGATAAATATATATAAATACATAGATTCCCGCTTAATTTGGCATTAACTTGTCGAAACTGGTCTGTCATTTCGAAAGATGCTTACGCCAATAGTGCGTTATGGAAAATCTCATGCATTATTCCACGCTGTGCGATTGGGCCCTACTTTATAGATATCCCAGTATGTAAGACATTAATTGAGAAAGGTTCCAATATCAAGATATTTTATTTAAAGGTTACTTATGCATTTTGGAAAATATGATCAAAAGTTGATAGAGCTCAAAATAGAACATAATGTCGGTCAACTTGATGCGGATAGAATTCGCACTTTCCAACAAAAAATCAACAAGCAATTTACCCATATTCGTGTTCACTTATTTAGGGTACAAACAATTAGCTAATATGAATGAAACCTTACCATCAAAGGGTAATGATATGGAGTTATTCCACTTCCTCTCCGCAGGTCCTCATGTGATAAATTACGCTTCTGGCATGTTGAGAAAGATATAGAAGATTTGATTTTAAATAAACGGTTCGTTCCATTTCCTCCTAGACCAAAAGCGTATCAATTAGATTTAAATAGCGATCCACATATTCATCAACAACCAATTCCTGAGGAATATCCTTCCAAAGATGGATTCGAAAATAATAGACAGCTTAACGTAATTGCGAGAGGAATTCTTATTCATCCGGACTTAGTGAACTTATGGAAACAAATTGGTTATTATGAGATTTGTAACGACGTTAATGACTTGGTCATGCAAGGAGCACTTCACATTCTATTCCCACCAACCCCTGCATCCGATTGGTCTTGCCCATCCATTGAAATGGTAATTTCACGCCTTGCCGAATTTATAAATCTAAGTTTCCTCATTGAAAGATAATGTTATAATAGATGCACTCCATGATATGTTTGAGCATCGATTAGACGAAATAGGAGACATCTTATGGGACGCTTTCCTTGTAATTCGATCAGGTGAAAATGTCTTTTCACTCGCCTTTAAATTTTTCAGAGAAGCTTTTAAACCCGAAAGAAATTTAAAGAAAGATGACCTACTAAATTTCCTTAAATCCAAATTTGATTATCATGAACAAGTTATAAAGCAAGTCGTTAAACAATATTTTATAGAAGAAAAAATGAGCGATATTACGTTAAGAAGAAAATCTTTAATACTGTCACCAAAAATTTATCAATGTGTCCTTAAAACTTATAGCAAGGATTCCGAGCTCACAGTTATTTGTTTTGAGGAAATCCACGAAATTTGGAAGAAATATCGACTTTTCCATCATCTCGGTTTTCGATTCATATATTAAAGAAAATGTACTATTTAAACAAATTATTTGGATTTATTACAAAAAGCGACTAGTTTAGAAATAATTAAACCTTTCTTCGAAATTTTCCTTCCGACCATCTTTGGAATGAAGCCAACTAGCAAGAGAGGGAAGTCTACTCCTAAGAAAAGAAAGAAGTTAACAGATGAATTAGTTGTTCCATGGGTGAAAAAACTTGAACAGATCGATTCACTTAATCGAAGCAATCATGGAGAATTATCAATTAATTTCAGAGAATATTTTATGAGCTTTTGCAAAAGGCTGGAGAGCGAAACTACATACCAAATCAGAGAAGAGAATTTTTTTGTGGCGATGAAATATTATCATAATGATCTAAATCAACATAAAAAGCAAAGACGAAATGATAATCAAACAGATCAAGATGTTAACATGAACATGAACTTTAATGATACTCCGGACTTTTTCCGAAATATATTTAATTAGTTTTTTATGCAAACTTTGAATGATTTATCTTGGTAAGTGTTATTCCAATATACAGTGCTTAAATGAACTTTTATGATAGATATTTTATGATTTCTTTAAAAATTCATGAAAATTTTTCCTTTTATAGATAATGCCTGATGGAAAGCCATTGCCTTTTTGGATACTGACCTCCTGAAAAAATTTGTACAGCTAATAGTAAAATTTTTTCGGTTGCTTCTGACCTTTTTATATATATTTCGGGTACTATTTCTTAACGATTTTGTTACAACTAGAAACGATAAAACTTAATATGAAATTATTTAATAGATTACTTTCCACTAACCTGATTAACGGTTTACATATGAAAATTAGAAAAAAGAGGTTTTTTTCGATCGTTGTTATTTATTTCAGTATACTATAGTAAGTTAAATTCGAGGTACTAATAATATAATATATAATTTTTTTTAAGTCAATGAACTATATAATTTGGAGTAAATATGTGAGTGTCAATTGATTTAAACGAATTGAATTCTGAATCACGAATTTTAAGCTTGCACTTAAACGTGTTCTCGTTAATATGTTGCTGCTATTATTACTAACGAACCAATATTATCAATAGATTTTTTTTAAGCTATTCTTTTAGACTCAAAAACAAAACTGCCTGGATGTGTAAACATTATTGGTCCATTCTTTTAACCGTTTAAAGAATTTAGCAATAAAAATAGCTTTTCGTGCTACGCCAGATAGATGTGTTAACAAGATTTTTTCTTATAAAAACCTCTGAAATTTTCCTCCCTCGAAAAAAAAATATAAAAACCTCTGAAATTCTCCTCCCTCGAAAAAAAATACTCATCATTTTCCATCAATTCAATAACTTATAAAAAAAACTATGGCTCATAATTCTTCAAATAATTTTGGTGATAATGTCTACGAATCAAATTCCCAAAAAACTGTTGCTCAGACGTACGATACATATTTGCCTGTCATGCCTGTCACATATTGCGATAACGTTAATAACCCAATTTCTGATCAGATATCAAACACTATCTCTCCCAATCAGCAACCCAATGTCTCTTCGCCTAATCATCAGCAGCCCACATCAATTTACCAGCAACAATATGATGCCAATTATGCCAACTATGCTAACTATCAACAATGTAATAATCAACAATCCCCCATTTATAACTACTTTAGCGATAACAACATTATCTTTCCCGATCAGCAACCCAATGCTGCATCACCTAATCATAATCAGCAATATGATAACGCCATTTCTAACTATAGCGATAACGTCACTAACTCTCCTGATCAGCAACCCAATGTTTCTTCACCTAATCATAATCAGCAATATCATCAACATCATAGTGTTGCTTCACCTAATCATCAGCAGCAATATGATGCTAGCTACCAACAATACATTCATCAAACCGCCATTTCTAACAACACTGATTCTATCATTCCTGGTCATAATCACCATCAACAACCCAGTGATAATAATAATCACGATAATCACAACAATAATCAGCAATCTTCGTCTGATAATAATTATTCACCTCAGTCTGATATACCTCCTTTGTCGCTTAACATTACCATTAATTCCCCTCAGACAAATTTTATCATTATACCTAATTCGGATATGATTCAGCAAGTTCTTGCTTGTTTGAATAATCCTTCTTCAGGATTTCAACGGTAAAATTTTGTACAACCATGCAATATTCTATTCTTTATTTATTCTTTATTTCTTTATATTCTGGCATAATTACTAGTAGTTGTTACAGTAGAAATATTTAGCCTATCACAGAAAATAAACTGTATAACCATTTTATCTTATTTCTGACATTATTTAAATAAAATATTATTGAATTTTTAAAACTGTAATAGAATTTATACCCTTAGTTATATATATAGCACGATAGTTTTAAATGTAATCACATGATATTTTACTAGTTCATTATTATTTACAAATATTATGGTGATCATAAATCTAAGATCTTGTATTCGAAAAATTTGAGGGATAAATATCCGTTATGGTAGTGTTCTTAGTTAATCCTTGGCAAATTGTTAGGGAAAAATTAAAATTAAGGGCACATTATTATTGCCAAGAATATAATGTATGTAAGTAGCTTTCTAATCATATGAATAATAATGATACTTTCAGCTTAATAAATATTACATAATTATTACATAATTAAAGCTGCAGTTAATATGAAAGAGGCAGATTGAAGTAATTAAAAATTCAGTAAAGAAATAAATATCGATGTATGTATTATTATATAAATTGTTATCTTTACATATAATTGTGATTATAAATTGATTATATAACCAAAAATTTCAATGATAAACTTTAATATGCTGTAACATTTGCCATATTCGTAACCTTCAAAGAAGTTAATAATTTATTATAATGTAATTAGTTCTTGATATTGATGATACAAAGGAGGTCTCGATAACACAGCAGCAGCCAGCAGATATATTAAAAAAAAATTTTAATTGTAATTTACATGAAATCAGTATTCTCGTACAAAAGTACCTGGCCGATGGACCGAAATGCTTCGATCAGAAAAATCTCACTAATGTCCGTACGTACTACTGTATCTATAATTTTTACGATATTAGTTTTTATCATTTTAATATCTCTGATAAAACGCTTCTATTCGTGAAGACAGTTTAATTAACCAAATAAAAATCCTAATCCTAAACTTCGCCTTCAAACTTATTAATTCCGCAGCTAACACAATATTAGTAATTGTCGAAACAAAATATTATTACCGTAAATACGCAAGCAATAGTATAATAGTATGACAATAGTATGAATTAATTTTATTAATATTATTAAATAATTAATAATTTTGCATAAAAAAGTAAAAACTACTCAAACAAATCATTTGCCTAATAATTAGTTTGAGCTTCTAAACTCATTTAATTATTTAATTAAAAACTTCGAGTCTTCTTTTTATAACAATTATACTTGTAACATAAACAAAAATAACAATTTTCGTTAAAAATGTAAATCATATATAATTTTCTTGATCTCAATATTTTAATCACAAGAGAAATCCTTTAAAAAATTTTACATGTAAAAACTCAATGAAGTTATAGTGTTAGAATGTTAATTAAATTAACGCTTAGTTCGTACAGTCCATCTCTCGCATGCACTACTATGTACTCTAGTTTAATCCTAAACAATATAATTTACTTTCTATAAGTGCGCACACACACTTCACTATATATGTCTATGTCCCAAGATAGAGAGTACACTTATACTAAATAAAGTTGAATACCGCAACGCGGTCATTTAATTAAATAAAACTATATGTGAATTTTTATCATATTAAACTATAATTAACTATAACCTTATAATAAATTTCTACTTCTGACAACTTTAAACTCTTCCTATTATTTATGTTCCAAATCCTGCAAAAACATTTATCTCTTTCGTGTAACAGATCGGGTTTCCAAAAAAAAAATTGTGTTTCACGTCTCGAAAATAATAAAGTAATACCTTCGGATATATCTATGTAAAATCGCTCTGTTACAGCATTTTTTTAGGTTATTGTATATTCATTTAATTTATTATATATTCTTTCCCTATAAAAAAAAAATTCTGGGAAAAACTCCGATAAATGATCATTTTTCTAGTTTTTATTCCGAAGAAACTCAGGTACGTGACCATTTTTCTGAAAAATTTTTTATAGGGTTTGAATGTTAATTAAATACAAAGTTATTGGATTTTTAAGATTTCGATGTGAAAACGGTTCAAAACTTTGATTAGATAAGATTGGAAAAGAAATTCGTGTTCAAAAAAGAGAATGAAAAAAAAATTTCACGCTTCAAAGATAAAACAATCCCCATCATTTGGAGAAGAACTCGCATCAAACCTTTCTAGTAGTTGTATACTAGGTAATAAATGAAGTTAAAATAGATTTATTATCATTTATTATTTTATACGCAATTACGTATAATGGAATCGACACTTATTGCCATATACTGTAATTTACGTGAAAAAAAAAAATTTCAATAATAAATTTTATATGGGTCCACAAATAGTTTTAATTTAATTAATTAACCGCTCCTATAAAAAATTTTATCCGTTATTTCTGTAAAAATTCCGTAAAAATGAGCCTTTCACGGATCTATTCACGGAAAATGTAAATAATTCGATAAATTCCGCGATATAAGGTTATTAATTCCGGAAATATGAGCCTTTTACGGAAAAAAGATGGAATATAAAAAACGGATTGACTTTTTTTACAGGGGCGCTCACTCCAGCGTTGCACGCGTAACTGTATATTGTATAATTATTATTCTTTATTTGTACGCACTGATCATCCCGACCACCTAACTAGCGATTTTATTGAATTTAAGTCAGATCTAGAAATCATAAGGCATTCATATGAAAATAACATATATGTCTCAAAATATTATGATGATCTGTTTGTAAAAAAAATTGTACACCCGATCATTAAATAAATAAAACAAATTCACTATTGTAAAATAATCCAATGTTCTATTTAAAAAAATATATGTTGCTTAATTTGTTGTTTTTTCCCTTATTTCTTTTGTTTAGTTAATGAATGATGATGATACAAATATGAGACTTGATACAAACAAACCTTCCAACTTCTATAATACAGAAGATAAACATCAAATAGCATTATACAGTACTTTTCGTTTACATATTTATACATATAATTGAAATAATCAATGTAAGAATTTGTTAAAATAAAATTGTCATATATTTGAAATATATCATGATGATTAAGAAATGTACGTGTAATAAATATTATGTACTTCCTAATTTCTTATGACGTCATTTTTTTAAAAAATATCACGTGATTGTTATTAACCTGATGACTAAAATACTCGCATACTCATCCGTTACCAATGTTGAATTACAAAAGTATTCATATATATAGTAAAAGAATGACATAAGAAGATGATATTTCGGACTTAACTATTTAAAATCCCATTTATTTTGAATCACAACTTTTCAAAATCGCGAAATTAATTTATTCTTATTCATTCATCAGTTATTTCATATACGCTGGATATGTTCGCCGCTTTACATAATATGGGACTGATCTAGAAAATAAAGGTAAAAGAATTTTTTTGGTTAAAATTTGTATTTTAATCTAGTCATATCAAAAAGTATAATGTAATAAAAATCTCAATTTTGAAACAATATTCTCTAATCTAGATCAGTCCCCATCATATGATGTTTTATACATTTAGAATGGTGAAAAATCGGTAATCATTAGTAAGTGACATTTGGAAATTATTAGTATGTAGAAAATGCCAAGTTGTCACTGCATGTTCCAGTGAATGTTTAACGGGATTTACTACGAAATCCCAGAATCTCATTATAATGCAAACCTGTAATCCCGAAAATTCAAAATTCCGACACTCATTATCCCGACACTTAATACCTTCATGAATACAAAAATTTTAAAAAATATTGCCAAGTCACTCCCATATTACTTCATAATCGTTGTTTTATTAGGAATTACTGGTGATTCAGTCTTAAGTATAGTAGCGATGCCTCACCGAAACTGCGACTTTCACGTCAAATACCCTATAAAAAAAGTTCTGGTAAAAACTCAGATAAATGATCATTATAGGGAATATTGCAAGTATTAATTTTTTTTAATTAACTAGAAAAAGAAAATCTGTACTACTAAATAAATTATAGAAGATACTATTAGACCCACAGTCTATGTATATCCCTTCAGATCAAATTATAGATAAAAATAAAACACCATCACATGTTGATCAACATTGATGAAATATTTAAACACCGTTTTTCGCGTTCGAAATTCAAAAGAAAAAGAATTTTTTTATTATTTCTTTTTACAACTTTACAAAAATTAGTTTAATTTTTGAAAGAAGAAACAAATCTCTTTTTAACAACTCAAAAATTACCCAACGCATCAATCTATCTATAGTTATAAATATTTAAAGATACATAATCTTGTTTATCCAATAAGATCTATAATAAAATAAATAAGAATCAGTAATTATTATTTGTTAATATTATATAGTCATAAAACTTAATTTACATTTTAAAATAACGTTAAACTTACTGGCAAGAACTTGATGTTATTAATAAATATTTTCACTCAAATAACCCAGTTGTATCTTTTTCTTCGTTTCCAGTTTATTAAATAAATAATTTGATCAATTTCAACTAAATCGAACCGGTGATAATATAAAGTAAAAAAATGAAGTTAATCTTCGGAATATTTTAAAAATCTTTACATATTAATAAAGATATTTTAATTGTTACTTAACTTTTGCGACTTATTAATAAAAAAAATGTTAATTTTTTTTTTAAAAAGATAGTAAGTGTTGGTATAATGAGTGTTCAGGATTTTTTAATTTTCGGTTTTGGGATTCTGATTCACGGAAAATCATTGTTATGTTATGTTACACAAAGAAAATTTTAACCGTTCCAAAACAACGATTATTTAATCCGTTATTAGTAAAACATTAAATTTTCGTTTTAATGAAATAATTGCGGTATCAACAATGCCGTTTATTTAACTTTAAATTTACCATAAAAGGCTTTTCGAAGTGAGAAATATTTTTTTTTTATTTAAACTACTAGAATTTTACTTTGGTGTCGCAAATAAAAAAAAAAAATATTTTTTTTTATATGTATTTGTTTAAGACAATAAATTAAAAACTTCTCAATAATTGCTTTATTCATTCATTCATTCATTCATTCACGAATTTATTTACTTTATTCAGTCACTCGTTTATTTACTTTTAAATAAAAATTATAAATTCGAATGCTTAAATTTAATTTCTTTACGCGATATTTGAATATTGTACCA